TGTGTGTGTGTGTGTGTGTGTGTGTGTGTGTGTGTGTGTGTGTGTGTGTGTATCTATGTGTTAACATAAACATGGGCGCATGTCTAAAGTTCAGGGTAGCTATACTCCATCACAGTTCAATGAAGCAGCGTTTTCAAGGAGCACCTTGCAGCAGCTTTACTGTCTGTATTTCCATCAGTATATAAATCCCTGTCAACATTTCTTGCAGTTCTTTAATAAATAACCAATCATCAATTAAATAATTGCTTTGGCGTTATCAAGCTCACTGCTTTTACTCGGGTCTGAAAAAGATCTTGCAAGACAAAGTGTCTGATGAGCAATCATACGTTTGAGGAAATGAACAAACATCTTATTTCCAAATAACTTTTATAATCTATACTGATAAGAAATCCAAAATGTTCAGCTGGGATGGAGACTTCTGTCACAGTCTTCTGCTCCTTGTCAGCCACCACAGTGTCTGGTTGGTTAGCCAGCATCTGGTTGTCCGTCTGGAATTTGAAGTTGTTGGTTATTTTCAACCACTTTTAGATATGTGTTCCATCAGGACTTTGGGACTCCTACACAAATGTGGCTATATGCTATGCCATCCACCTGGCTAAGGCTTTCAGGGTTTGTTTTGTCTTACACTCTGTTACAGTGGACAGAGTGGACAGAGAGATAGCTGGACTATCTCATTTGGATCACCACATTGGGTTCTGGCTGCTGTGCTCGACGCCTGCTTCTGCGGATCTGGTTCTTAGGACTTGTTCTTGTGCTGTCGTGATCCGAGACTCTGTGCTATTCTTCAGGGTGGCCTTTTCTATCCTCTGGAAGAATATCTTGATGTCTGCCAGTATCTGCAGATGATGCATTCATGGAGGGGCTGGGTCTTCTATTATATTTTATCTTCCTCCTCCAGGTCATCTGTCTTGTGCTGCCTGAGGCAGTCATATAGCAGTTCTTCACAGAGGGACATTTTGATGTATTTTTCTTGTTTCGTTCTCAGTCGTGATTGTGACACACACTAATCCACACCCTCCCTCTTTTGATTGCACATAGACCCTCTTCGCATGGAACAGTGAGAAGTTTTCACGTCTTGGCGTCAATCTATTACCTCTTATATGGCCAGCTTAATTAATGACTGATAGGACTTTTCATTTGCCCTTTCTTTGCTATCAAATAGATGTTGGATGGATTAGTGTGTCAAATGTCTCATTGACTCCTGCCATATGGCTTGATGTCATTCATGTAGATGGCTGATGGTCACTTCACTTCTGCAATAAGGTGGATGACATGTATGGGGCATCAGTGATAGGGTTATTTATTGTCAATCAAGGCAGTGATTATGTTGATTCACCTATTAGCTGGTGCTTTGATCTCCTGGCGTTGCTTCCAGTGCCATTCTGAGCTTTGGGCATGTGTCAGCTTATGTGCCTACTCAGTTTACAGGAGATTCCATCCTACGGAAAGGCAAGTTACTCGCCAGTAGCTGGAAGTTACCCTTGTGTGAATCCTCATCAGCATTGTTCTGCTCTGTGTTAGCAGGTCTGGGTGTGCCTATTCTTTGTAGCTCATACAATTGTTCTGCCAGGTGATCACAGATATCTGTTAGGTGTTTCGGCCAAAAGGAGTTGGATCGTACTTGGTCCAGGCAGTGGACCACCTTTGTGATCTTCTTATTCTTGGTAGCTACTGTATATCTTAGCTCCATCCACCAAAGCCAATGGTATTGTGTAATGTCTCTTTCTCCCAGATATCCTTGCATCACTACTTAGTGTCATTTATGGATGTTCAGTCTTTGTGCTGCTGTTCCCTTGGAGCTGGGAGTAGGCTCTTTATGACTCCTTGGACAACATTTGCAGACCATTTATACTCTTGTTCTGATGTATCTTTTCTGGCAGCCAAGCTATCAGTCTGGTAGTTTCAAGAGTCTTACTTATGGGGTTTTTTGCAACCTGGTGCACTTTTATTAGCCAACTAATAGCTGTCCAAGCTACGTACTTTTCACAACTGTAATTACTTTTCAGGATGAAGATGGATAAACAATCCCTCCTTTCCATCTATCTTTCATCCATCTGGCTTATCTAGGGAAGATTATAAAAGACTGTTAAGTAACATGGAATGTACCAAAACCTGAGAATCATTATCCTTGGAAAAACATTTCTGTATAAAGCCCTTTAAAAGAGGATATGCTGTTAATACCCTCCGTTTCCATGTAATTTGATATGCATGCAGGGATTGTGCAATGGATTGTTTTTAGCAAAACATAATTTAATCCTCTTTTGTATATTATTCAGATGATGAGAATTTATACATGTACATTTGACAGAAAGCTCATTTGCTATTTTTATCATTCTTACTTTCATTTAGATTTACTGTTTCTTTCCTTCCTGAATAAAACATCCTAAGGCTGGCAGAGTCTCCTGTGTGAGCATTTGTGGGTATAAGAACCTAGCTAGGTGTTTGAGGCAAAAGTGATATGGTAATTAATTGACTCTAACCAGGATATTAAAGTGTTCTGGCATAATGAGTGTTTATTTTTTTTAGTTTGGTTTTGTGCTGATACAGTAGGTCTTACAAAGAAATTAAAAAATGCTGGGTCTTAATGAGTCCTCTAAGTTTATAGCGTGATATTTCATTATAATATTGGACACATTTCTTAACCTTGAGACAGTATAATGTCCCAAGAATCCCCACTTAGCTTTCTTTTGGTGTAACTTGGCATGTATTTGTGACTGGGAAAAGCAAAAAGAAGAACAACCTTTGGCAATGTGTGCAATGCAATGTCCATTAGGAGATTGATTCTTAACCCAGAGTAAGACTAGGGAGTGGCTGGGGATTGTTGGAAATGGTGGGGATTGTTGGAAGGGAGGGGAGGATCATTAGAAAAAAAAATCCTTTTTATGTTTTCACATCAATACAAACTGCATTATCTCATGCGTGGTTCTCTCTCCTCTGCCCCAGGCATGCCCTCGTCGGTCGCTGAGACTAAACATCTGCTGTCACTTGTCAATCAAGTTCTGAGAGACAGTGACCTTGCGCGGCATTGTTAGAAACGATCTGAATTGAGCTTGCATTTTGAAGTCGCCTCTACTGCTGGTTTCCCCAGCGACTGGCTTGTAAAAAGGTGCCGTGTCAAATAAAACTGGATTGATTGCCAATCAGATAAGTTAATTTATTGGCTCTGAGTCTGAGGGGTTGGGCCAGAGATGTCTAGTGTTTTTATATCCAGTTTTGCTACAGATTCATTGATGGCTTTTTCAAATTATGGCCCAAATCTTTTAAGATAATTTATATATATCTACTTTTACAAGCAAATTCATGACATTTCGTGTATAAATGCAGTCAAATGCATGGGTTGTTTTCATTCCATTCAGTGAAATAAAGGAACAACTTTAATCAGACCTGCTCTTTTTCTAAAATTTCAAACATAAAGTCTGCCTTTGGAAGAGCAGGACAGTATGTGTGTGTTGGCAGGGCTAGCTGTCTTACTCAATCTGTCCTAACTCATGTTTCTGTCAGGGTTAGTGTAAGCCAGCAGTCGGCTATGTCAGACACTAAATGTCAGTTTCAGGGTACAGAGACACCC